GCAGTTATTTGCATCTGCCAGCTAAAAAGAAAAAAAGGAGATAAATAATGAGACAGAGTATGCAGGATACAGCAATTGTGGAGTTTTCTGTATATTTTTGTAATAGAAGCTGCTTATTAATATCTAATGTATTTCTCTGTGGTTGAGAAAGGCTTCTTGCTGAAGACATGGCAGCACTACCTGTTTTATGGATATCATCAGTATATATATTTAGTAGTGTATAATCACTCTAAGAATTTTTTCTTAAGGTATGTTTTGATTGTCTTTTAGTCATACTATCCAGTCAGGAAGTAGTTGCCTCTTCCTACTTCTAAATTACTTGATCAAATGACTAAAATAAACATTGCCATTCTAATGATAATGCAATTTTTGTACATATACTTCTGCAAATTTGCATTCAGAGATTTTCATAAGAAACTTTTCTAACATTTCCTCTGAATCTGCTTCTGAAATACATTAGTGTGAAAAAGATGGAGCAGCAGATTAATTAGTGAGTAAGTGAACCAGTTAATTAATATTACAATTAAATCTGCCTGAGGTATGCTTATAGCATCCTTGGCACTTTTCAAGTAATGAAAAAGTGTTTGCTGTCTCCCTCCTTCTCAAAGCTCCACTGAAAATGTGGCTTGTCTGAAACTATGCTTCTGTGAAGCTGGTCAGAATGAAGTACACGAATGCATTACCATGAGGTCAGAATTATTTTGTGTCCTGTGATAGGGCTATTCTGCTGTTCACAGGACTGAAGGAGAATAGAAAATTTATAATTATGTACAATATGCTGCCAAAAGATCAACTTTGTTGCTTTTGGCAATCACTAATGATTTTTTTATTTTGCAAGAGCAGCATAATGTTTTATTTCTGCCCCCATTTTTCATAAAAAGTTAATTTGCATACATTTCTGCAAGAGTGAACCATGTTAGTATGGGAAAAAAAAAGGCTCTAAGAATAGTCTGAAACAGAGAGGATTTACCATAGTCTGAAACAGACACCATTTATCATAAATAAAAAACAGGAAAGAAAAGGTGGAATAAAATCACATAGCATGTTTCAAACCCAAACATTCATGCTATATTAAGGTTATTTTTTCCTCTGATGGTAAATCAGACTCCTGTTTTGTGTATCTGGTCATCACAATGGGGGCTAAATCCACATTGATGAGCTATGATCAGGACTGAGCTCTGAACATATGCTCCCCACAGCTGGTGATGTCCCAAGAGCGGTCCCCGAGCTCCACGTCTAGCACAACTTGACCCTGGAATCTACCAAGGCCAGATAAGAAATGCATTAAAAAGAGTGCTTAGATTCCTCTCCCAGAAATTGTGACCTCAAGCTCTGGGCTGGGAGCAGACACCTTTCCTGGCTCTAAAGCTCAACACTTAATTCAGATTCTGTTGTGGACACACCAACCTTGAGAGGCAGCAGCAGCTGCAGCAGGAATCCCTCCTGGTGCTGTTCTGATGGGTGTGGTACAGCATTGTGTGTGGTGAACATACTCTGCATTTCCTACCACAGTCAGAGCCTTATCTTTGTTTCCAAACAGGGAGAAGGATGCAACCTGAGCTTAAAGGGATTGCAATCAACTTTGTTTATTTATTTATTTGCTTCTGTACTTATTTATTTAATCTTAAATCTAAAAATGAATGCAATGAATTGGAGCAAAAAACACTGGAGAGAGGCAGGGAGGGAAAACAAAATGAGCTTGGCAGCAGTGGGACGTTTACAGTATTTCACACCTACCAGTGACAGTGCAAATTAAGATAACCCCTTCTGCTGTTCATTTGAGAAATGGGGTAAAGGGAGGTAAAATATGTTTTGCTTTGTTTGTTTCTTTGTTTGTTTTAAACAGAAGAAAATATATTAAATCTTTCTGTTGGTATTGGTCAGTGCCCAGACAGAGATTTGGGAAACACATTGATGAACTCACCAACCAGCACAGTCTGGTCCAGCACACATATTCCCACAGGTGTTATTTGGGAGAGGTCCCAGGGCTACAGCATGCCCACTCCAGAGCCCTGTCCAGGCTTGCTGAGATGCTGTCACATCACAACTTCATCTACTTCCATCCAGGACTGTCTGCCTAGGAGCTTCAGGACTGCAATATCTGCTTAACTCTTGGACCTGTTCCTGTGGCCAGGCAGGAACTTGACTGGGGTTTTATAGCTGGCATCTGAGCCCTTCTACTCTCTAAACAGTAAAGAGATCCTGCTTACAAAATCTGTTTCCAAATTTTCCCTGTCTTCTCATGTTCCTCATGATAATTATGTAAAAGAATAAGTGGATGTATTAATGTGCGTCTTAACAATCGTAAAACTATCGTAGAGATTATTTGCAACTCTTTTGCCAGAGATGGTAGTTGTGCTACATATGAATGGCTAAAATATAGATACAAACAAAACAATAGAGTAGAGCAAGACTGAGTTTAACTCAACTAATCTCCCTCAGCTGCATCTAAAAGGCTGCCACAGTTGTTGCCAGAACGATGTACAAGTCACAAGAGAACTAGAGAGAGCTACATAAAAAGAGATTAAAAAGACCAAAATACGAGAATATATGAGTAATTGGAAAAACTATTTTAAAAAAAGTTGAAATTTATATACAAAATTTTAATTCTCTACTTACAGTCTGAATGAGACTCCAGAATATTTCCTCACTGTTTAATCCTGTGATCCAGCTCATTGTCCCCTTGCTGAGACCTCTCTCTCTTCCCACTGGGGACCAGACCCGCAGAACAAAGCAGCTCGTCTTTCAAGTGGTGAACCAAGCACTGGAGGAGCATCCATATTTTAGTAAGGCTTTTCCCACAACACTCCCTTTTATTGGTATCCCAGAACCTGAAAAAGTCTGTAGAAAGAGGAGCAGGGCCTGCAGAAATAATTTCTCCTATCGACACTTCGTTGTGTGAAATGACCTCCATGGATATCTGCCCTGCCTCCTTCTTCTGCTTCCACTGAAAAGTCTTTAAGCCAGGGCAGAACACTTAGGTTTTTATCCTAAGATTTTTCTTACCCAAGATTTCTACTTGCTTTAATAGAGATTTTTCTTTGAGTCAGGTTTTCCAGAACTCTGGAAAACCTAACATATATTCATAAAACTGATTTTCAGATTTCTTTTTTCTAGATTGATAGAGACTGAAACGATTTATCTTTCTTCCTCAGTCAACTATCAGATCAAGCAGGATCTGGTTGTTTGGAAACTGAATCCTCACAGTTTGCATTCAGCCCATTATATTTCATGTTTTCCCACTACTTGACTATTGGTTTTTTTTAAATTTTAACACTATTTTGAAAGGAAATGTGCAATTTATGACAAGGAAAAGGTGTGAATGACTGAATCAATGCCATCATTGATCTCACTGAGTGCAGAATCAAATGCTCAGTCAAAATGAACACCTTGGAACATAATCCTACAGACGTTATTCAGATTAAATCCTTGTTGAAAACACTGGGGAATTTGGTATAAGCCTTTCATTATCAGAAACCCAGACTGCCATTGCAAAAACCATTTCAAGACTGCTTCTGGCAAATAAAATTAGCTCTTTGCCCAGGATAAAGTCTTCATATAAATTGTTTAAATAGAACCTGGTTTAAATATATATTTGGAGGGATGAGGGCATGGAAAACAGATTTGTTGATGCATAGGATGTGTCTGATGAATTTCTGTGCTATGACAACAAAATAGTACAGATAGAATTTGTGCAAAATAAAATTCATAACAAAGTCAACTGGCCATTTTGGGGTTCAGTATAGTCATATTTGATTTTCACATACACCAGTCCATGAGATATTAATAATTAACTTGAAACATTGGGTAAATTATGATCTGAATCTTTTACTTGCATGTGCTCCAGAGGAGGGTTTTATTTTTTATGTTCACGGTATTTTTGTTAATTATTCATTTATATTCTTGGAAGTACAAATGCATTACAAAAGTCTGCAATTGTTGTAAATCTTATTTGATCTAGGTGAGAAGGAAGTGACTAGTCAGTTAAAAATCAGTTCTACTTAAACAATAGCTATGAAATAATTTTTTTCTTTTATTAACACAAACCATACAAAGGATGTGAAGATAATTTCTCTGTTGTAAATCACAAACTATTGCAACTATCCATACAGATTCTACAGCACCTTAGAGTAAGCACACTGATGAGAAGCATTTTTGCAAAAAATGTACTTTGCATATGACATTTAAAGCAGTTGATTAAGGAAAAAGGATAATTAAAAGTTGATAGAAAGAAATGTTGGATTACCATTTACGCACTCTCTATGTTTTATAATTGCATTAGTGTTATACAAATGTATTCCACCATTTCTGCAAGCATTAGGACTGACTTACTAGATTATTTGGAGTGAAAATATTTTAAATCATCTCTGGAATTGCATTTCTTAGTATGAAAGACTAAACATTTTTAGCCCATGAAAGACTAAATATATATTTGTTGGTGTAGTGCAGTTGCCAGCATAGCAGTAGAACATGTCTAAAGGGTATCTGTAAGAAAGATGTGGTCAGGTATGTCCTGGTGCACTGAATGCTAACATGACTTCAGTAGAAGCACATTATGCTTTTATTTCTGACTGTATACTGAATTATTTACACCTTCAAGGCAGCTGATTGAACTGTAGCATCAGTCAATTAGCAAATCAAAAATTTATATGATTCCAATTTAGCATGGAGTCCTTCTCTCTTTTTTTTTCTTTTTAGATTTTCACCCTGACAGTGACAAATTACTCCTCTGCTGGCTGAGATTGGAAATTAAAAGCATTTAGAGCTGCTCATGCATTTATGCTAATGAGAACTTCTGATATGATTTGCATGCAAAAGAGGACAATCTGAAAGCTCATCAGTTTTTCATGCTTCCGCATTTTGATGTAGTAGGACTTTTTCTGTTTTCTGCAGAGCAAAAAAATTTTTCTTGGGGAAACAATACTCTATGTGAACAAAAAAGAGTTTTTCTTTTAAGTCAGAAAGTTCCTTTTTTTTTTTTTACCCTCCAGATTCTTGTCAAATCATTTGCTTTGCTGTTTCAGAACTGCAGCCCACATTCATTAGCATTTTAGATGTTTATCAAAGGAACGATCCAGTATCTGCCATGCAAGATTATAGCTCAAGCATCATTTTAAATTCAGCAAGAAAAAAAGACCCGAGGACAGATGAGAAGAGGGACGTGCACTCTGACAAGCTTCTTCGCAGATACACCCGAATTAATCCTATTTAGAGCAAAATTTGATTAATCATCAGCAGTGGTAGCTTTGTGAAGTTTAGTGATATAGTTAACTCTGACAAATTTTGGGGATCTCTTCGGCACAGCCTTTCTGGGATGCACAAAAAAAAAGACAACAGGCATTACAAATGACAGAGCAGAAAACTTTAATTATCCATCAGGATATATCTGTGTATTTTTGACTTTTTGTGAATGTACATAGTTTTTGTGTTGGAGGTTATCCTTTTGATACTGACAATCTGAAAGACGCTAACAGTTGCCCTCATTTAAAAAAATTTTGCTGTAATAGTACTTGCTGAACATAGCCATAATCCATTAATATTTTCAGTCCCCAAAAGCTACTATTTAGAGTTTTAATTGCTAGTATTCCTTCTATCTTATCTTTCAATTGATCAAATTCCACTGTATTTTTTAGTAAAAAAAAGAGCAAAATATTAGTTAAATCTCTACATCTGAGTTAAAATTAAGAAATTAAATTCAGCTAGTAATATATATAACCATTCTTTCAGAATACCCCTTTACACATTGAATCACTTTTTACCCCCAGGAGTGTACAGCAGCACTGAAGACTTTCTGCATTTCTGAGGTGTTACAGAAGAGAATTTCACTCATTGACTTGGCTAGCGTTGCAGTGAGGTGCTTTACAACCTCTCAAAGGCAGCTAAAAACAGGTGTATACCATTTTTTTAACATCTCATGTCTTTAGGCAGTATTCTTGCTTCATGTACTTGAAAATAAAATATCCATTTCTTCTACAGTTGAAGTAGCTCCCCCTTTTTTTTTTTTTTTTTTTTTTTTTACTGCATTGATGCTGAGTAGTAGATACCTTATTTCCTCCATCGATGAGAAAGAGAGGGGTGTGGTAGGACCGTAATCATGGAAGGAGAAACAGTATGAAGTGTCAAGAAAGAAAACTAGGAGACAAAAGGTCATGCAAGATCATAGCTTAGTCTTTCTTGTCCTCTTTGACAGGGAAGTTATGGTCCACTGGAAAGTGTTGATGCAGTGATAGTCTTGCTGGAAAATCCTGCTGAGATGACCTGTTGGAAAACAAGATGTGTGATAGGACAAGGCATAATGGCCTTAAGCTGAAAGAGGGTAGGTTTAGATTAGATATTAGGAAGAAATTCTGCTCTGTGAGGGATATTAGACACTAGAAGAGGTTGCCCAGATAAGCTGCCGATGCCCCACCACTGCACATGGTCCAGGCCAGGCTTTGAGCAACCTGGTCCAGTGAAAGGTGTCCCTGCCCATGGCACAAAGCTGGAACTAGATGGTCTTTAGGGTCCCTTCCAACCCAGGCTATTTTATGAGAATACTAAATTAAGAACAGGATTTTCCTAATTTGACATCTCATGCAATCTGAACTGTCTCTAGAGCTGGTTTCCTAATCTCCATTGAAATTCACCTTGTCTACAAAGATCTCCTGAGCCAGGAATCTACTTTTTGTGGATTTAGTCCTATCCTTGCAAAGATAGGTGCATTGTCTATTGTGAATACACTTCTCTTCAACGGGAGGATTGGAAAAGGTTTACATTTGACAACACTTCCAAGTTATACTTGCTTTGGTTTTGATTGAAGTATTTTTTGCTTTATGGTCCTCAATGATCATTGTGTGTGGTAAGGAAGAGATTTTGCCCTTCAGATTTTTCTTCCTCAATTGATCCTACTCAATTCAGATTGAGTATCTGGGGTCCTTTAAACCAAAACTAACAGCAAAGAAAAAAGTGATTTTGGAATAATTTAGATGCCATCTTAGTTCCCCAACATAATGCAGTTAGTTTCTCATCAGTGGTAGGAAAGCATAAGTGTTTGCTGCTTGAAGTTCACACATAGTGAGTTATATCTCTTTCCCTCTCTTGGCAAAATGACATTTTCACAAGGTCCTCTTGACCTGTTTTGGGGGCAAGTCACTACAACTTCATCCTCCAATGACACCCTTGTAAATCACCTTTTGTCCTTCAGAGAAATAAGCTATCAACAAGTATTGGAAAATTATTCAGAAACCTCTGGTCTGGAGGCGTCATAATCATTTTGGAAATCAATTTTGATCTTCTTCCTCATCACCTCTTTGTCAGTAAAGATTCTAGCCAGGTTGATGAGTTCAACTGGGACATTTTCTGAGCCCTGATATTGATTCTCGTCAGGATTTATATCTTCATATGTTGGTGGACAGCCTTCCTTGGAGCTAGTTCAATGTTTAAATGCAGCAAATGAACAATAATTACCTTTGTGAACAGAGGGTCTCAACCATTAAAACTGCTGCCTGATGCCCTAACTGGAGCCATCATCCTACATTCAGCAGGGAACTGGGGATATTTGACTACAAATTTACCTGACTCCTTGCAACTGTCAGAAGATTGCTTTACAATCACTTATTCTTCCTGGAGATTTCTCAGTCTTGCAATTTCCCATTTATAGGCCAGTTTTGGTCAGTTATTGCTGAATTTTATGTGTGCCAACACCTCCTCATATAGATTTCTATCTGGTCAGCTTTACTGGCAAATTATTTGCTTTCTCCTGTTCTGGTAGGAACCATAACATTACAAATACTTATTTTCTTCATAACACACAAATTAGAGTATGACAAAAGGTATTGCTGGGAATAATTTTCCGTTCTTCAGTTCACATCTTAACACCAATGTAGACAAAGTCATGAATAGTTATAGGAAGTACTTCAGAAGTGTTGTGTTATCTTGCCATGTTCTCGGTGTGAAACTCCCCTTGAAGTCAATAAGAGTTGTGTATGCTATTCAGTGGCATAATCAGGCAATAAATTATGAAAGCTCTGCAAACACCAAACATAGCAAACCACAAACAAACGACATTAACAAGTGACAAAAATACCCAGTAAAAGAGTTAAAGCTAATAGTTTTGAATGTGATGAAATTCCTATGGCTGGTAGGATTTGGCAACCTCTAGTAAGTGGGTTAAGAGGAGAAGCCTACCTTGTGCACCTGCCTACCGCAGTGCTTCCAGGCTTTTCCACTCAGACAGTGAATTTCAATTGCAATTATTGCAGAAGAAAGGATGAATGGAGACTTGTGTGCTCCAGAATTGCAACATTTTCCTGCTCAGGGATGCCTCATAGTTTGCTTTGTTGGTGCTCAAATTTAATTTTCAGAACAGTTTAAAACAGGTCTAACACAAAATAACATTTTAAGTCAGTGGTAATGCTAGATGCCAGAAATCTCTTCCCAGAATCTTTGTTTCAAGAAAAGCTGTCTAAAAAAGTGCATTTGAAAATCTATTTTTTTACAGTACATTCTGAATAAAATGTTGAAATAGAATTTTTCAAAATGACCACTTTAAGCCCATAATCCAAAATGGAATTACTAAAAAATTTAGAAGATCATGACACAAACAAAAGGGACTGAGAAATGTGAGCCTTGTATTGACTAAAAGTGACATTCTGAAATTGTTCTCTCAGATCTTAAAAGCCAATTAAGAATAAACAAAGGATCCCAGAGGTCTGAGATTGCTGTAGGCTTTAGAGCTGAATCTGACTTACAAAAAACAAGATCTTTGTAGAGCACAGCCCTGCTTGTCCTTGGAGTATTTGTAATGGCAAGATGATTGTGTGCTGAGACACTGAAGCTGTTATCAGAAGCCAGCAGTTTATCACAAAGCAAAGGAGAAGCTGGCACTCCCTGCAAGGGTTTTTCTGCCTTTGCTTTTGGAGGATGCGCCCATGGCACTCCCTTGGACAGTAAAAGTTTCTGATGCTGACTATAAAAGCATTTTTGCTTTACTGCTTGCAGAGCAATTCTGAAATCCAGGCTATAAGTGGGGATGCGGAGCTCCAGCCCACCCTGCTTTTAGAGCAGTGCTAGACATGTCAAAAATCAATTGGATTGACTCAGCCTCTTCTGACAACTTTCTTTGGCTAGAATAAACTGAAACTACTTCAGGTAATTTTGTTTGAAAGAAGACTCATGACTTCCTGAAAGCCAGATTCAGCTAGCATCCCCTCCTATGCCAAGTGGTCTGTCACTCTAGAACAATGGATTATGTCACCCAAGCAAACAAATCTCAGACTCACTCATCCCAGGCATTCTTGCTCCTCTTTCCTCAGGAGGAGCAAAAGAATGGGTCATTTTGAGAAATGAGGAGAAGGTAAAAAGCTAACAGGAGATAGAGGAGAGCTCCTGCCATCTGGGGGTAAAGAGATGCTCTCTCTTTGGGAAGGTCCGTCCACACATCTGAAAATCTCCTCATACCACTTTGATCTCACTGTCACAAGATTGAGCTCTCTGTCTGCAGGAACTATTACTCACATAATATTTTGATTTCACGTAAAAAAAAGTGATTTTGTAGGCAGACGATAAGAATTTTTCAATACTGGCAAAATCAAGGGCTCTTATGGGAAAGAAAGCACTGTAGTAAATATTGCTTTCTGGTCATTTATCTTTTGTGTGCAAAAAAAAATGTGTATGTGTTCTTAATAGATATTCATTTGATCCTTCGTGAGTTACTTAATTTTCTTGAAAAAAATTAAGGAAGATAGAGGGAGAGGAGAGATGTATAAATGCCTCAAAATATTTCTTAGATGGGTATTTTTTTCCATAATTCAGTGGTGTTGAGAGCAAGAAAATGTCTATTACTGTGTTGGTAATTATAGAAGAGCTTTGCTTCAGTTTACAGTTTCAAAAAAACAGTGTACATTTTTCATGTCTGAAGAAAATTATCGTGGACATTTAGCCAGCAATAAACTTAGAATTATAAGCAGGGCCTACATTTACTTGAATTACTTTTATGTGTGCCAAGAAAAATTTGGCCTACCTTTATATTCCTGTTTACCATTTAGTGTCTTATACTGTTACAGTAGTTGTTTTATGTGGAAGGGAGCACAGAGTATTTCTTCCTGCTCCACTCTGGGTGAGTAGTTGGCTACAGGTTTATTGCATGTATTTCATAGGTGCTCCTGAGCAGTCTGGAAGGCTTGGAATATAATGCAGCACTAGAATGGGACAAACATATGATTGTTTGTATTTCTTAAAATGTACTTCACATCTGCTCCAAGGTAACTTCACACCTATTCCAAGATATCATCTTTAATCATTCAATTTCCAGGACATTTAGATTCATCTCAGCACTTGGTGTTAGTTGCTCTGTGTCCAAGCTGTCCAGAAAACAAAACATCTATTCCATGAGGAAGCAAGACTCTAGAAATGGGTGTTGGTATACACGTTTTGGTAAAAATGAGGCCTTCAGAAATATCTTAAAAAAATTAGGTGGCAAGACTGGGCCATCATTCATTTGCCATCAGTTCAGTGGTTAGTCTACTCACCTGCATGGAGTGGCTTACATGACCTCACTTTGCCCTCTCCCACCCCACCAGAGCGTGAGAGTTTGTTGTTTATTCTCGGATCAGTAGATGTTTTTCTCCCAAGCAGGGCTTGAGAAATTTTGCAGAGGTTTCTCAAATGTTTGTTAAAATATTCTAGCCAATTTAACATCATTTTATCCATGCTAAATGCTCTGATTTTTCAGGAGTCTTCCAGAGACTTTCTTACAAAACTATTTCATATGTGTATGTTCTCAGAAAGCGTCTTGTACGAAACTTCTGATGAGAGCTTCATAGAGCTACTCAAGATCTTGTTTTTGTTTAATACAATTTAGATTTGATTCAACAATTCTCTAGGTCTCCCCATAAGAATAAACTTTGAAGGCATGCTTAGAGCATAATTTATCACCTGGTTTCTAAATAACTCCGGCAAAACTCTATTCTTTGTGAAGCTGACAAGTCTAACATTTTGCACATGTTCTTTGTGTAGATGAGATATATTAACCTGAATGCTGCTCATTGTCCCCAACAAAGGGGTAAGGCTGATCATTTTTTATGTTCCCTTCTTGGACATATGTAGCTCTGCAGCTGAATACAAGTTGCTGGATAGTTTCCAGTGACTATTTAATGAGTAAATAGAATAAGGGTGAGAGAGAGATGCTTCATCTGTATTAATTTTGTGACATAGCTGACAGCTAGAGTGATATCTTCTTCTTCTTTCTTCTTTTGTTACAGCAGCACTAATCATACCACACAGAGACACATTTGTCATTATATGTAATTATGTGCAATATGTTTATATTATAATATTTTATATTGGAGAGGCATAGGTTTCATAATGTTTTTACTCCAAATTTCTTTCTGCTACAGATTATTTCAGTTTATACATATTTATAAATGATATTTAAAAGTACAATAGCACATTAATTATAATAAAATGTTAATTTGGAAATAGAAGCAACTAGAGAACTGATATAGAGGACTGCTTAACTTGTGACAGAGGGGAAATATTTTGTTAGGGCTTGGGGAGCTTTATTTTGGCTCCCTTAAAATTCAGAGAATGACCAGAAATTATTCAGACAGGCTGAAATTCTTGTGCAGTTAAAACAGGTCAGAGAAAACCTTGACCCTTCAGAAGCCTTTTTGAAAGACCTGTTCTTCTACGGACATTTTACTACTCCCGACAAAAACGGGGTTTCCCCCTCTCTAATCACCACTCCCTTTTTTTTCACTTCCTCCCCCATTTTCTCCAGCCCAACTAGCAGATTAGCCAGCAGGCTCTGAAGCCTGAAGAGGTAGGAATTGAATTGACTTTTATCACATGCCAAAGTAACCGTGGAGTAACCCAAGAACACAGCCCTACCCTCCGAGAGTCCTGTCCTTTAGGACCCCCAGGGGTGAGTAAGGAAATCAAAGGTACCATCAAAGCCCCCTTCAAAGTTAGGACATTATCCTCCACAAAAACTCTTCCCATGGTGTGCAGATGAAGTCCTGGTGGCTTGGCTGGTGACAGCTGCCAGGGCCAGCAGCAGTGGCACAGCAAGGGACTGTGTTTGTGCAGTCAGCCCCAACAAGGCTGTGTCAACAGGGCTGGGCACTGCAGCTGAGGGGCAGCAAACAGCAACAACTGCAAGTCAAGCACAGTTCCTGCCACTGGCAGAAGGAAGAAGATATTTAATTGTGGGGGGTTTTTGACTGTGTATTTGCAAATGAGTGTAATGGGGCAATGTTGACCAGACTGATGTAGTCAGTAGGTTTTAACAGATTGAGAAAAACTTCATTATTTAGGCAATGAAGTATGCTCTAACTTAAATTAGTTTTTCTACATTGATATGTCACCTCCCATTAAAGGGATAAGGATTTTATCTAAATGTGAAAATATCTTCAAAGGTCAGTTATGTACCATTCAGGCATCTTGTAGGAAATACTCAAAGGTAAAAGACCTTCACTACTTTATCCGGGTCTCAGCAGCTGTTTCAGATCTTCCTTGGTATAAAATTGAATACATGATTATTGTCTAGATGGTTAAATAGTGGGCCAGACATGAGCTGCTCTTACAGGGGAAGAACAGTTCTTAAGGTTGATAAATAGTTTGGGTTTGAAAATGTTTGGGGTTGTATTGTATAAAGAGCAGTTCCATAGAGTAGCTTAAACCAAGCTCTTTCTGCACATGGAGAAATGAATGTGACTGGGGAAAGCAAGTAAAATACAAGTATTGTATTTTACCTGCACAAGGGAGGAGTAAGAAAAGGGGGAGCCCTTCAGCTATTGGACTGCATTGGAGCTGCTCACCCCACACAGAGGATTATAGCAATGTGAAGTTTGTTTCTGCACACACAACAACTGACACACCTTCTATACCTGTCCTTTGGCTTTCCTCTGACTGTTAGCTCTGAATCTTAATGATGACACAGTCTGTAAAAACAAATAAAATATTTGTATCACAAATACTTTGCTAATGAACTTTATTATTAATCCAATCATGCTGATAAAGAGCATTCAGTGTGAATATCTTGCCAAACTAATTAAGGTTTGAGGTTTTATTTTTTTCTTATCTTCATTAAATCAGAGAAACAGAGAAGATCCAAGAATTGAAAAGATCTCTGAGGAGAAGAGCAGAAGAGCCAAAACACAAAAATAGAAGACAACAAAAAAAATCTGGAAGAACAGGAAGGTAAAGGAAACCTTTGACAAAATAATTTTTGTTAAAAAGAGAGTAAGAACTTTACAGTGCAACCATACATATTTATAGCTTACTGTGCATTTTTCTGGTTTGGTTTGTATTAATTTACTTAAGCATTATTGTACATATTTTGACTGCATGTTTTCTAAATAATTTTGAGGAACACGTGGGAAGGTTCAGGCAACAACAACCTGTAAAACTTCTAATGGTCCAAGTGATCAATACACAGAAAGTCAAGATAAATGTACAAAAAAACAGAAAAAAAATTTGTCACAAACATGGAATAAGTTGAGATAAACGGTAATAATGCTGTATTGTCACATTACAGTTATGGAGGATGTGCCACCGGAGTCTGGGAACTGATTCATTTTAAGCTTCAGAGGAAAAACCAATCTTATTCCTCTACCTTACAGCTTTGTGTGTAAAGTTCTACCTTTTCTGCTTTGCGCAGACCATAGTAGCAATTTATTTCATGTATGATATACAGAGAGGGCTTATTTTAAAATATATTTATTGGTTATAAAAATTAACTTTTAATGGAACACTGATGTTAATCATCTCCAAATGGTTACAGAGTTGTGTGGTAAAAAGAAAATTTAAAACTGGAGGCTAATAAGTGATGATCGGATTTGTACCATTCTCCAGCCAAATTCCATTTGTTCTTTTCATTTCCTTAACACAATTATTTTGTAACAGACTCTGATAAAGTTCTACACCTAAAGCATTGTCATAAAATATTCAGAAGTTGCTATATTTTATTACTGCTGAGTAAGTAGTTTGCTTTTATTCTCTGGTGGTTATAGCATGGAGCTGTATGAAAGGCTAAACAGCAGTAAAAGAATACAGACTTTATCCTAAAAGTTTGGCAACAACATGTACACACACAGTTTTAAGGGCATGTAAGTCTTGAGAGGCCAGGTACTGCCAGCAGGTACTCTGGCAGGTTGAGGTCTCCAGGGAACAGCCCACTGCAGAATAGGGAAACTGGGAAAATCCATAGCTCTGCCGCTTTATAATAAGTGCTGTATGTATGCTCTCAGGGAAGAGCTGCTCTTGCTGATCACCTTCTTAACATCTTCACTGCATTAGACCTCAGGTGTGGGTCCAGTCTCTTCCATGTACAAAGGACACTGACTGGGTAGGAGTATGACACTGTGTTTAATATTTATATAGGCCCTTTTAAACACTGATCTGCAGGAGCACTGTCCCTGTAGACAGGCATAAGATGGGAATTGTCTGCTAGTTTTCAAGAGATTTGAACAATCCCAGAAATCCATTTCTTGGGTTTTTTAATGCCTCTGAAATATGCTGCCTTGAGGATACTTTCAGACCTTTCCTTTATTTGTAATGGCTAAATCTTTTCTGGCAGTAAACAAGGAATCACTTGTTATACAACAAATATTGCCTACAGTTTTTGTTTGTGGCAGGTTGCACTAGTTATAGAGAAAAGAATCCACCTTCAATGTCCAGGATTTGAAAAGAAATAAGTGGCTTCAGTTTTATGTGCTTTGTCTTTTAATGCCATCCATGATTGTGCCCATATGATATGAAGCTGAGATCCGTTTGTTTAAGAGAATCATATACGAAAATAAATAAGTGAAGGGGTTCTCATCCCAAGCTCTTGGTGATACAGAAATTTCTGATGAGAAACTGTTCCTTCCATCAGGAAAAATCTGGAAATTTGAGTGCTTCTTCCCCTTAATTAATGAAAAGGGCAGAACACTGTTAAATTGTAAGCATGGAAACAAGGAAGCTTCCCAACTGGTTCAGAGAGAGATGCCACCTCCAAACTGCCATGGGGGACATAAGGCTCAGGAAGATGCTCCAAACTGTAGACAGCAGGAGAGAGAATCATGATAAATCATAATGTGAGAAAACAAGCATATTTCAGGTATTAACAGGACTTTTGGGAACTAGAAGATCACACAATCTCTCTCATCCAAGTCCGCTCTTGTTCTTGTGGCTGGTACTGAACTTCTGAGCCTTGAGGAATGTTCTGATTTCCACAAAATGTCAAATGACAATGAAATATTCTGGATGGATGGTTTAACGAAACACTTTCAGATGGTTCTCAGGAACAAAACCCAAATCAGCTTTAAACAGAGCCATTTTCCACAGTCCACCAAATCCTAGGGGAAAATCCCAAAATCTATCCTGAAGAATGGTAAGGATTGGGGCTGAACACTACACCAACTGTGTAGTTCTTCATCTTTCCATTACCCTAACATTAAGGGGAGAGACATCTGCAGTCCTTCCTTTCTAACTTGCCTCTCACCATGCTCTGCCCAGAGGCCCCATCAGCAGTCCACAGGTCTTTCATTTCCAGCAGATGCTGGACACAAACCCATTCCTTTTGTTCTTAACCCAGCACAATAGGTTAAAACCTTCAACTTTGCATCAGCAATATTAAAGCAGAATAAATTCTCACAGAAAATATGATATTCAGATGCTCTGACACCTTGAAATAGTTTTCAAAGAAGCACATCAAATCATTTTCCAGCTGCATCTTGATTATCATTAAATGTGGTTATTATTATGTTTTTCAGCAAGAAAAGGCTTTTACAGTGGCAAAGACACCTTGCCCAAATCATATTTTGATTGCATGTCATTATAAACTTATGTAATTATAGTTATTTGAAATGAATGCAAGTGTATACTTTTCAATATCTCAGTTTTGGTTTAAGTCTCACCCTCCAGCCCACCCTGTTTAAGGCTGTTAAAAAAAAACTATTGCAAAGATTTTTTTCATAACCTTTGCAGGTTTTCTACTTTATATCAGCACCTTTTTTCAATCCAAAGCATAAAGAAGTTGGGGCTAGGAACTGTAGCATTTAGACCAACTAGAAATCAAAATATTTGAGAAAAAGCAATGAGTTCTCAAACAATATTATCTTTCTTTTTAGGTTATTTTGAAAAAAAATGCAATTTTTTACCCAACAGGTATCAAAAGTTCTTTTTCCCAAACTGAATTGCAAAACAAAAATATAATTTTGAAATTTGGACGAAATTAAGCCATTTTACCTCACTGAACTTATCAGTCAATATTATAGAGTGATATTTGTTTCAAATGGAATTTTTATGAGGATTATGCAAACAAATAAATTTTATATTTGTATTTATTATGGAAACCCCCCCCCCTTGTTCTGAGAAGGTGCTATTTGTAGATTCCATCTCTTTTGCCCAGCTACCCAAATGCCTCGGGAATCAATGCTGTTTTAGTCTTCTATTGACTGTAAAGAGTTACTTCGAGTTACAGAAGCATAAATAAAATGAATTATGTGCTTTAGTCTCTCACTTTGGCACTCAAGGAATGGAAAACAAAATGGAAACCCTCCCGGCCCTGGGAAAGTGCTGTTTACAGGCTGCATTTCTACTCAAACCTTGGAAAGAGGGATTTGCTTTGATACACACAGAGCAGCATTGATGAAGAGATGGAGCAGGGTGATGAGACCCCACAGGGCAGTGGTTCTGCCTCTCGCCAGGGCTGCTCCACACAGCCTGCCGGGAGGAGCTCACCAGGATCCCCTTCTCCTGCTGCCTTTCTGCTGCCTATGGGAAGCAGCACAATCCAGGGCTGCAGCGTGATCCAGGTCTGCTCCTCTCCCAGCCTGACTTGAGGCTCCCTTTCCCCTTGCTGAGCTCAGCGAGCTGCAGCGGGCCAGGTCTCTGCTTGGCCATGGCAGGTTATGGGCAGAGCAGCGAGCCAGGAGCCTCTGCCCATCACCAGGGAGGAAATCCATCCCCTTCTGCCAAGGAGAGTCTCTGCCTCTCAGATAATGGGTGGGATCTTTCATCTCTCAGATAAGGTAGATGATTCTTGCCCCTTGCTTCTGCTGAGTTGGGTATATGTGGCCAAAATATCACCCAGCTCCCTCAACCTAACAGCAAGCTCTGGGCAGCACAAACGTACCTAAAAAGAAGTTGAACTGAAGTAACAATTGTATCTTGCTCAGATAAACAGAATTTAAAAGCTCTTTTTTTCACTTGCCTTTTGGGAACAAAATTATATTTTTCTGTGATGGAAGATTGAAGGAATGCCGGAGGAAGTGATGCCATTGTTGTTACTGCAGAATTAGCTGCCAGATCTCATCCTTTGCAGAAGGAGAAACCACCCTCCTTTCATAAGGGATTCAATATTTAATGACAATCAAGGTATCATTGTTGAAAGTGAAATCTAAAAATGGAGTTCTTGGACTTATAAGCAAGAAAGTGAAGAAAATTAAAGTACAGAGCGGTCATTTAGTTCAGGTACACAACATCTTTGTTTCTGATAGCATCTTTGTTTCTTTCACTCCTAAAATGCATTTTTATAGTATGCGTATAACTGTGTGTGTGGATATTTTTGTGTGATCCTGATCAAGGCCTACACCATAAATGGATTTCCTGCATTTAATTGGACTTACTGAGGATTTATGATGGATGTGCTCAGATCTTGTTTTCCTTCCTCTTTAGGACCTGAGACCTATGCCAGAAGCAGCAGTGATGGTTTAATAAGCAGTTGTTCCAGTACACAGGTTTGTCAGAAAATCCTGTTTTAAAGCACTGTGCCTGTCCTGGTATTGTGTGGCCAAGCAAACAAGGATGATATGCTTGTAATTCCTGAGCCCTTCTTGTGCCCTCTGATAATTGTGCCTTCATGAGTTTCAGCATCTGTGTAGCAGTGTAAACCAGTGGTTATTAGTCAAAAAATGCTTGGGATTATTTCTAAGAGATTTGTGGCTAGTAGTTTACC